CTTACGCGACGCGTTTGCCTTTAGTGTTTGAGTTACGTACACTCCTGCTTACGTACAGTTGAGCCCATAATTTGTTACTGTTTGTTAATTGTTTTGTTACGTTTTTTTGTTTGTTTTTGTTCCGTTAAGTTTTTATTGTTATTGACTGTTTTGTTTCATCTGTGTGTTACTAACATTAAGTTTTAGACTGTTTTTGGTTGTGGGAAAGTACTTTTATTATTTTGTTTAAATATGCCTCGCGGACGATACAACGTTTTACGCAGGCAAGCCAGCAAAATCGTGTATAATGTCGTGCAATTTATGAAAAAGGAGAGTGAAGACGGCGTCCAAATTTCGAAGCTCGTTCAAAAACGAGCCGCAGCAGCTACAGGCGTCTCACTAAGGACTGTACAAAGAATAGCTGCAACAGCAAATGAGTCGGAGATGGTAGCCGTCTTTCGTACTCCTGGCAAAAAAAGGAAGGGAGTCAAGAGAGTGACGAATATTGACAACTTCAACCAAGATGTCATCAAAAGGTGCGTGCACAACTTTCACGTGACTGAAAAAGAGTTGCCAACACTTAAACAATTACAAAGAAAATTAAAAGACGACATAAATTTCAACGGTTCTGTAACCAGCTTAGGCCGAATATTGAAACAATTAGGGTTTCAATGGAAGAACAACCAAAATGAGAGAAAGTATTTATAGAGCAGTCTAATATTCGTTTACAGCGCATTGAATATCTGCATAGTATTACAAAATATCGCTCGGAAGGCAGACCCATTATATATACCGACGAGTCTTATGTCGATTCTTCCCACAGCATGTCAAAGGCTTGGGGAGATGGGTCACAAATGGGAGTTAAAAAGAAAATTTCGAAGGGTCAAAGAGTTGTAATAGTGCACGCGGGTTCTGAAGCCGGTTTTGTACCCAACGCACTTTTAATGTTTAAGGCGGGTACAAAAACCGGCGACAATCATGATAACATGAATTATGAAAATTATGAAAAATGGATCGAGAATCAACTCGTTCCAAATTTGCCAGCAAATTCAGTCGTTGTTGTAGATAATGCTTCTTATCACAACAAACAAGAAGATCCTGCATCTACCTCAAACTCAAGAAAAGCAGACATGCAATTATGGCTTCGTGAAAAAAATATTGAATTTGAGGAAACAATGCTGAAGCCACAACTATACAAGCTAATTGCGAAGAATAAAGAACGCTTCAAAAAATTTAACATCGATAAAATATTGAAAGAGAATAACCACTTAGTTTTACGTCTCCCCCCCCTTACCATCCCGATTTAAACCCCATCGAGATGGCATGGGCAGCAATAAAACAATACGTCGCAAAAAAAAAACGTTAACTGGAACGTAAATTCCAGGTCCAGCAAAAAGTTAACGAAATAGGGGAAAATGAATGGTGCCGAAAAGTGATCAAGATAGAGGAAGAGTACAAAAAAAGTGACGTTGTCGTTGATAGATTGACGGACGAATTTATAATCCATGTCAGCGACGATGAATCAGATACCGAGTCTGAAGAGGAATCAGATTCCAGCGAAGACGAAGGAAGTGATGTTTCCATGGAAGCTCCTTCCACAAGCAAAGACGTTTTTATGGAAGGGATACAGCCCTTAACTTAAAATGAAAATAAAAACTTTATATATTGTTTATAAAATCTGTTTTATTTTTAACCGACTTCAAAAAAGGATGAGGTTCTTAATTCATCTGTATTTTTCTTCCTTGAACCCTCCTCATACTTGCTAACTGACATTTATGTACTATATGTACAGAACTCAAAAACACAAAACTTTCAGTTATTAAAATAATTAAATTGAGCCTAAATTTTTGTCAACTTGACTGTACCTGCGCGCACCTGCACTCGCAGCTAACTTCCGAACCGCCATTAAGTTTGAATCGAATAATAAATCTTTGCATACACTATTTACGTGTAATTCCCACTGTATACGGGTCTCAGCGTCCAAGTTCAAACTGATTATATAGATAATTATAAGGTCCCAAGACTCAACGTTTATACCTAAATTGGCTAACTCTTGCATACAATCAGAAGTAGCGTCTAGAAGGTCTTTAAGACCACTCGATGATTCAACAGTGAGTGAACGTTGCGCAAATAAACTCTTTAGGATACAATTTGACATGAACCGTTTATTATTATATCTATTTTGCAGTAAATTCCAACATTTTTGATAATTAGCCTGAGTGATAGGAATGTGCTTAATGAATGGTTCTGCTTCCCCTTTGACTTGAGTTTTTAAATAATGTAATCGTTGAACATCATCTAATGTAGAGTTGTTATGCACTAAAGAGTTATCAAATCTTTAAAAGATAACCATTCGGAATAATGCCCACTAAACACAGGAATAGATGTTCTAGGCAATTTAAAAAGAGAGTCTTTGTATTCGTTTGACGTCGAAGTATGATCACAATGCGTAGATGAAGGGCTTTCCATGGAGCTTATAGCCTCTTTCAGCTCACTCTTGTAGAGTTTCATAATCCTCATTGAACACATCATTTTCTATGTAATTGCTTTCTAGTAAGTCTCTTTTCGTATTGGCAAATAATGTTCTCATGCTTCATACAAAAACGATCAGCAATTTTTTCTAATCCTTCTAATCTTGCAACAACATATGACTTCGTTACTCTTTCTTTAGGACTTTTCTTGAAGTTGTTTCTTACTTTCACAATTTGTTCTTTTAATTCATCCATTAGTCTTAAATCAGCCTCCATATTGGTTGGTTTTCGTAAATCCGTTACAGGTTTTATTTAAATATTTTCTAAGTCCAATTTGAGCAAAACTTTACAAGTGTTTGGGACTAAATACACTAAAACCGAATTTGGGCGTAGATTCCCCGTCTCGTCATTTTTTGGAAAATTTTTGTTTTTGCACTTTACTTTATAATTTCCCAAGTTCTGTTAGATTATGTTCTCCTCCAAGCGGGCTGCAATTTTTCCACCACAATATGGCGTCAATGTAGTTTTTAAAGCGCTTCACGAGAGGGCGCGACGCCACTTGTGTGTTCCTTGCGGCAACAACGTGAACTGTTTGACTGTTTGACTAATATAAAAGCCGTCACCTGTACGTGTTAATCACTTATCGCAGTGTAATATTATATTTCAAAAAACGCTCCGACTCTGAAAGACCTTTTTGTTAGGTAAACAAAGCCAGGGAGCAATGGTGGTTTGTTTTTTTCCTTTTCAAAACTCAATGTCCCGAAACGTATAGACAATTTATTCAATATAATTATTAAACCCTATATGCATTGTATAGTCAATAGTCGAACCATATCGTGATATAAAATGTGTAGCGACATCTAGATTGCTGATTACAAGATACAATTATAGCATGTTGGTTTAAGATCTTAAACAATAGTCTTTGGCTTTAGCCACTTGGAATATAGTCTAACAAAGATTTTAAGAAATATGGATGACAGCTAAATGATGGCATTTTACAATTTTTGTAATTTGGTCAATAGGAATCATTATACATTAATAGAACAGCTTAGCATTAGTGTACCTGTTTGCCACCACCTTCATTTAGATCTATTTAGTACTGTAGATCAAAGAATTGGAGGAGGCCTGAGCCCAGCTGTGGGACATATGTAAGGCGTGATCCATTTCGAGGTTCCCTACTTTTTTTAAAGAAAAAAAACACAGAAAATTCAAATTTAATGGAGAATGTTTATTATCCATTTGAAAGAACATTCTTTGGCATTTATTTTTTTAAGATTATGTCTATCAAATGATGGCCGTTGCTACGTCGCAGATGGTCCATCCGTTGAGTCCAATTTTCGATGACTCGTTCGAGCATTTCGACTGGTAACTGGCGAATGACACGCGTGATGTTTTCCTTCAAGGCCTGAATCGAAGCGGGGACAGGAAAAAGTCTAACGGTGTGATATCACACGATCTTGGTGGCCAATCAACCGGCCCAAAACGTGAAATTATGTGCTCACCGAAATGTTCTCTCAATAAATCCATTGATTGATGCGATGTGTGGGAAGTGGCGCCGTCTTGCTGAAACCAAATGGCGCCGAGATCACGAGCTTCAATTTCAGGCATCAAATAGTCTGTTATCATAACACGATAACGGTCGCCGTTGACGGTTACGTTCGCACCGGGATAATTTTTAAAGAAATATGGACCGATGATTCCACCGGCCCACAAACCACACCAAACCGTTGTTTTGTCTTAATGAAGTAGCAGTTCTTGAATCTCCTCAGGTTGCTCTTCGTCCCAAATGCGGCAATTTTGTTTGTTTACATACCCATTGAGCCAGAAATGGGTACACTCTCAGCTACGGCCGCTATATTTTCTTCACAGCGTGCTGGACGTGGTCTATTCAGTCGAATATTATCCAATAATGAATGCTGGGTCTCAAAATGGGTGATGGTGTTGCGAATAGTACGCTCAGTAGGCCGATTATGTTGACCATAATATGTTGAGCGAAGTGTACGAAACACATTCCTCCTCCACACAACGTGAATTTTCGTAATAAAGTTGAACGATTTGTAAACGTTGTTCAGGCGTAAGTCGTTCCATTATGAAATGCCAAACAATACTAAACAAAAATAACATGACAGCATGACACGACTCACACCTGATCTGTCAAAAAAGGGCTATTGAAAAAAGTATCTACCTGTATCACCCATTATATCATAACTTTACTTTAACCCCACACAATATTACCTGTATTTTAACCCATCATGTCAAAGTCCAGTTAATTGTCTTGGTATGTTAATTAGTTTTAATAACTATATCATGCACCATAACATACCTTCTATATTACCACTTCTGTATTATCTATACCATAATGTCAGTCAGAATATTTGAAGCACATAAGTAAGAGTATGTATTGTGCAGTTGACATTTTAAAATTGCTATTGTAGATTGCAGTTAAAATTGACCATATCAATAAAAATTTTCTCATCATGTAAATCACTACTACATACCCTAATTTTGTACTTTACTCAGTTTCATTATAAGTTGGTTTTATTTTTGCAGGTTTGACTTATTTAAACATATTTGTTAATTACTGTCGCTCATTGTGCAAAAATCATGAAATTGGTGTTTTGTGCATTAATATACAAACAAGATGGGTGGAGCAGGATATAACAGATTATATAGGTATGTTTTCTGAAAAAGATTGTTAAATTTATTTAAGAAAAAAATATTGAGTATCTAAATTTCATTTTCAGATGATAAAGACCAAACAAGAGATATAACGTATGTAGAAAAACAAAACCGTTGCTTAGGAAAGTACTGGCAACACATTCCAGCAGTTATTATTTTCATTGATAAGTTGAAATTAGATAAAATGAGGAACAATGGTTTTTGTGTGAAAGCAACAGTTCTTAGATCTAATGAAATAATACTTGAACAGCATTGTATATTAACTGTAGATAGCTTGGGTGTAAGATAAAATATAACCACGCAAACATTAGCAAACAAAATGTTATAACTCTTGAAATTATTATTGAGATATTACTAAAATATGTCAGTCTTTTAAAATATATGTAGATAGTACGGAATAATGATATAACACAATAAAAATATATAAAATTAAACAAAAAATTTAAAACTTAACAAAAAGTATTAATTATCGATTAATTATTCTATGAAGGGGTGAGGGGAAAGACAACTTTTTTTTATCTTTGGAACAAACTGAGATATTTCGGATTAAAAGTCAAGATCATAATAAAACTTACCATTTATGCAAAGTCTATCAAAATCGTAGGCAAAACTGTTAAAGTCTAATACATAAAATAATGTATTAGACTTTAACAGTACCCACAAACTACTCAAAAGTATAGTACTTATTTAAATCTGAAACCTCAAAAAAATTTTTTTTGCCATAGGAGCTACGATATGGCGGCGATCGAAGGACTTTTAAAAATATAATTAATTTAATTTTAGAAAAATTAACAAAGTAATTAATTAAAATAAAATGTAAAATTACAAAAAGAAGTTAAATGATGCGGGCATGGTGTCAGACTGCAAGACAGTTCCATTGTCTCCACGACAATCCTTTCCGCAGCGCAAGCATTCCACATATATCCATTGTTCTGTGTAACTGCTATTTCAGCCCGATTCCAGGCTTACGACGCGTTAACTCTTCCCTCCTTAAGTGGAAAGCTGGTTCTGCAGCTTCCAGGAGCATCCTCGCTACTTGCTTTACTTGGACGCTTATTCCAATTGTAGATCTTCCAGATTGCAATAGATGCTGCTAGTATGTAGAGTAGTACTGTAGACCAGCTGGGAATTGTTATCATTTAGGACTAGTTCCAGATTTCTATTTCTTGAATGTCTTCAACCTTGTTCATAAGTTCATGGGCACTATCTAGTGAGATGTCTTCCAGATGTATCTCATACTGGATTTCTTCCTGGATTATTAGGTTCTCGTTGAGTAGAAGGATGACTTCGTCCGTAGAGATGCTGCTAGTGTGTGTTCTTATCGTTGTATTCATGATATTAACTTGACAGTCCTGTGTTAGGTTGATGCAAAATGTTGTCTTATGAATATTTTAATACTAATCTCCTCGACTGGATATAGTAAAAAGTTATTCTACAAATTACTAAGTTCCGAAATTAAATTACGTGGCTTATAATACAAGGGTGCATTATACCTAATTGCGAGAATGCCATAGCATCTTTTAGCAACATTAACTTATCTAAAATAATCTGTTAACTAAAACTTATTTGAATGTATATCTCTAAAAAGTGCAGCCGGTTTCTTACTGTATCGGAATTAATTATAATATTTTTCAGTATAGATGGTAATCTTTTTTGGTTATCGTCTATCTTGCTTAGTTGTTTCGAAAATTCCTTTATGGAATTTTCAGCCAAAGATATCGTTCGCTTCTGTGAGCTTTGGGTTTTATAGATCGATTTACGAATTTTCTTGATTTCGCTTTCAAATCGAATGTGTCTTTTTATCTAAATTGCCAGTTATTAATTTCACTACGGAACCTAGTACATTTATAATACCGTGCCTAAATCTAATCCTAGGTGCAATAAAAATTAATTTCTTATTAATTAATTCTAACTTATGTTCTATCTGATCCCTATATGTTTTATGTAATTCTTCTGACGTGACGTTAATTTCAATTGTCTTAGCACTTGCGTGTAATGCCATTAATTTTATCGATATTAGATTCAAGTGGGTAACATTATAAACACAAGTAAGGTTGAAGGAATCAGTCCGTTTCAGAATATGACCTTGTCTCAGTAATAGAACTCCGTTCGTATTGTCTACGAGTTTAAATGTTATGTCGGATTAGCATGGAACACGAAGGCTGAAGATGGTTGTCCTCGAACAAGATGGATTCTTCGTAGAAGTTTGAAATGTACCTGAATAGACTTAGAATTAGGATGATTTCCTACTAACTCTGCTATATTATAAGGATGTAAGTGAATAATCTTATACGGTCCTTTAAATACCGGTTTAGTTTTGTCATTTCTCGCTGTTTAAAAAGGGGGCTCCCCTTTTTATAAACTGTTTCACCTACCTTGAATGTTATTTCCTCTGCTGCCTGTTTTCGCTTTGCTATTACCTGTTCCTTATTTTTGGACATGTACGCTGACACACATTCCTGAACGGCTTCTGCATGCATTTTGTGCTTCATAACATAGTCCTGGTAAAAATTATTAGAATAATGTAACTCTTTGGTTTCTAGATGATATATGTCCAAATAGTAACTCGTGTGGAGTATATTCTGTTGCTGAACGGGTTGAGTTATTGTAAACAATCACTGAAAATTTCATAATTAATTGTATGGATCATCTTTGTCATTCTTGGGATACTGATAATTCCGCCTATAGTCGAATGAAAACGTTCTATGGGTGAGTTTGAATTTGAATTGTATGGAGTCGTAAACTGAATATTAATACCATGTAAAGCGCACATCTCCTTTATAACTTCATTGTCAAATTTACTGTCAGAATCTGTTGTAATTTTGTGAGTAATTCTTAAAACTGAGAACACCTGAAATAAGCCTTCAGCTATAGGTACACTACCTAGTGGCGTTCAACGGTATTGCTTGGGCGAACTTCGAGAAATTTTCTATTATAGTGAGGAAGGTCCATAAATATATGTTGCATACGTTTTGTAGGCGTTTCCGTTAAGCCTAATGAGGGTCTAAGAGGGTTTCTTTCATATTTCGCTTGTAAACAGATACTACATTGATTTATGAATGCCTGGATTTTGAGTAGCATATGAGGCCAATGGTAGTTTTTATGGATTTGCTTATATGTTTCTTGGATAGCACGATGCACTGTTTTGTCTTTATGATATTTCTTAATTATTCCTTGTTGTTCTGTCTTGTTTTCGACAAGGGTAACGCGTGAAATATATCTAAAAAGTTTAGGGCCTTTGTCATTAAACACCGTCGTGTAAATTCTAAAGAATGCTAGGTATAGTTCTTCATTATAGAAGTAGCAATAGAATACGCGATCGGCAATAGTGTGTTCTATTAAGAATTGGATAATTTCTTTCTCTGTGTTATTGACTGGAATAAATACAGCTTTATAAGTGTCTTACTGAACTTAAAGTGTATGACGTTGAAGAATTTATTGACATTAGGCTTTAATAATTATTGATTTGTTGACATTGATTTAATGAATATATTTGATCCTTTTGAAATAAATGTTACCTGAACATAAACTTAAATTTGCATGCTAATTAAAAGCAAAACATGTGAATTTATTTTACTGTACCACCTACAAGCACCATGTTTTCAGCAAATAAAGAAATTATTATTATTATTATTATTTCAATTACTGTTCTAGAATTAGTAGATCTATTTTCTATTCTGTATGTTGATCCTGGAGTTGACCTGATATGGAATTGTTTTAGTTGTTTGTCGATCGCGTCCGATAAGATTGGTATCCGGTTGGTTTCATTGTCAGGTTGCGTATGGTTTGTCGATACTAAGTGATCAGTATCGAGTGTAACGATACCCATACTATCGGATTCTATGTATTTTGGAGGGGGTTGTATATTGGGTCTAACTGTCTCGTTATTGTCATTGCTATCGCTGTTGTTGTCATTATTATCCTTAAGTTGTTTTATTGCTTCTGTCTCCGTATCTAACTCTTGTCGTACGTTGTCGAAAGTTCTATTTATGATGTCGTTATTATCTTTGTTATCTAGATTGACTGCTAATGAATGCTCTATTGAAAAATTTTAAATCGAGGGAGAGCATGTGCATTAGTATTTTGTCGTCCTTTTTTGTAAACAACCGTGTAGTCTCCTACGTGGTAGAGCCTTGCTGCAGTTATATTAGTAGTAAAGTTGTAGCACGAATGGGTCGGCTCGACCGGAGAAGGACCACGCTATCACAGAATATCAGCGTAAAATAGTAGCTTAATGGTGCTGTGTAATTCGTATGGTGAGTGTAGAGAACTGGAGACCCTTTTTACTGGAAACGAGGCATTCCATCGTAGTCCTCAGGGATGACAACGCATCTGCATTTTGATTCGCGATCGAGGATAGATGTAGGTGTCTACGGGCCACAGCAACCAATTACCATACGGTGGACTGTGTGCTCGTTTGTCACCCTATCCTATAAAAAAAGTCATATTCAACAAGTTTAAGTCTCCACCTAGTCAATTTAGAATTAGGGTCTTTTAGTGACTTTAGCCATGTTAGGGGTCTATGGTCGGTATATATGACAAATTTTCGTCCATAAAGATAAGGTCGAAAGTATTTCACTGCCCAAGCGATGGCTAAGAGTTCTCGATGCATATGCTACCTACTTTGTCTGAGCTTATCTTTCCTTGAGACAGTACTGCACCAAGGGTTACGTCCGATGCGTCTGTTTTCAGTATGAATGGTTCGTCAAAGTTTGGGTACTGCAGGATAGGTGCATTGGTTAAAATATGTTTGCATTGTAGGATTCCGAAAATTTCGGTGAGTGTACAACTTTTCTATTTTTCTTAAGACATAAGGTCATCGGTTTCGTAAGGTTGGCAAAGTCTTATATGAACTTTCTGTAGTATCCGACAAGTCCTAAAAAGCTTTTAATGTCCTTTTGTGTTTTTGGTAATGGGAAGTCTAAAAGCGCTTTAATTTTTTCCTGATTAGGCTTTAGTTCTTGATCAGTTCATGGCCTAAAAATGTGACATACATATTTGTGAAGGAACTCTGACGTGTTTAACTGAATTTTCAGATTGTGTTTTAAATCTTTCAAAAACTTGTGTCAGCTCTTCTATATGCTCCTGCAATGACGTTGATATTATTATGACGTCATTGAGATAGGTTAAAACGTTGTTAATATCTCTGAGGATGTGGTCCATGAGCCGTTGAAAAGTACTGGGTAAAATTTTTAAACCAAATGGCATTCTAAGGAATCTGTAATGTCCTCTCTCTGTTATGAATCCAGTTTTCTCTATGTCATCAGGCTGCATCTACACCTGATGGTA